AATTTGAATCATATGGATCAGAGTAATTGTTCTCTGGGTGAAGCAAGAAGGGTTCTAGCATCTGAACTTAAATGAGAAAGATCGGGAACTTCTTTATAATTTTTTAATAAATCACCTAGTATTAAAGGACAAAGTCCAGTTGAATAAATTATTAGAAAAATTAAAAAAATCTCGATAAGGTTCTCCAGAATTCTCGTTACAACCATATTTAAACCCTTCTTCAGTTTCATTGAAAAAAAAAGCTTTGCTTTGTAAAGTATCATTGGAATGGTCGGCCACGTGGTAATTTGGATTATTTTAGGCACTTAACATGTTAATAAAAAGTTTAAATCGGAAGTATTGTAACCAGAACTACATATTTGAACTGAAACTCTCGTCAAAATTATCAGTTAGTGATTCCGAAGAGGTTTGAAGAAGACGGAATATGGGGGTTATTAATATTTTCAACAATATTCTCTACGTTTTTCGTAACCTTCCTCTGTTGATGACGCTTAGAAACAAATCGTTTACTTTTAAACATAAACAATTTTAAGAAAAATTACTTACCTTGTTGTAATAAAATAAAAACCAAATTCGGAAATAACCTAACAAAAATGGTACCAAACTTTTAACCATGCACTATTTTAAAAAAGACCAATGCACTGTACACTGCTTAAATAGAGTTATTTTATATCTTTTATTAAAGCAATAATAATAATAATATTATGATTAAACTGTGCCATTTGTTTAAATTAAATAGGTATGACATGACAATGACAATATTGACAATTAATTTCATCAATCATCACATGTCATATCACATTATTATTTTTCATTATTTTGTCTTTGAAAAGACAAAAGAGACAACTGTGGAAAAGATTATCAAGATTCATCTTGTCGATAAAAATCATATTTTTACTTATTAGAATTAGCAAACATATATATTATTATCTTAATAACTAGAATAATAAAACAATTGTAACGAATTATCTAGAAATAAAAGATTTTTACACTTTACCTAAAAACAAAAACATGTTTTGGATATATTAAACTATACAATTTTTAATTAATTGTGATTTAACCTTTTCGCTTTTAATTATTTTATTAACGTAAATAATTTTTTATTGCTTTATAAAGCTATGCTTATATAAATACACTACATCCAAATATTCAATTTACGATGGAAACAGAAAAAGCTCAACAACTAGCGTTCCTGGATGTATTAGTAAATCGAAAGGAAGGTCACTTAGGACATAAAGTGTATCGAAAACCTACACACACAGACAGATACCTAAACAGGAACTCAAATCATCATCCTAGCCAAAAACAAGGTATCATCAAAACTTTGGCAGAGAGGGCGAAGAGAATTTGTGAACCACAACATCTCCAAAGTGAACTTCTTTATATTGAAAAAGCGCTCACCTCTAATGGGTACACCAGAAGAGAAATACACAAGGCGATGAACAACGTATCTAGAAGAAGGGACGAAGAAACAGAATGTAAAGGGAAAGCGTTCTTGCCCTATATATCGGGGGTAACGGACAGAATTGGGCGAATACTCAAGAAAGCCAACATAAAGACCATCTTCAGACCTACAAAGAAGATCAAGGATTGTTTAAGATCGGTAAAAGACAAACGCGACCCATTAGCAACGGCCGGAGTATACCGAATACCATGCACATGTGGAATGGTATATGTGGGAACCACAAAAAGACACACCAACACCAGGATAAATGAACATAAAAGCCATTGTCGTTTAGGACATATCGACAAATCTGCCGTTGCCGAACACGCTTTGGGAAGCGGAGAACATCGAATACTATTTGAAGAAACACAGATGCTGGACAAAACTTCACAGTACTACCCACGGTTATATCGGGAAGCGGTGGAAATATACAAGCACCCAAACAATTTCAATAGGATAGAAGAAGGACTAAAAATCAACAAAACATGGATACCAGTATTAAAATCCACAAACGCCCTTCCCGCCAAACACGGAGATAGAAAAGCTACTATAAACAACGACACGCCCCCTCAAGCCGAAACCAGTGGAGGGGAGGCGAGTGGGAATTATAAATATTGCCTCCGTAGTACAACGCGTCGTCAGTTTCTGCTTACAAGCGAAGCATCAACATCTCCAGAAGATGCCAACCCCTAGTGTTGGCGAAACGTCGAGAACTAATCTCAACAGAAGACAACGGCCCAACAGCCCGAATAAACAGTTTAATAAGTTAGACGATGGCCGTGAAAGCCTAACGCAATTTATAAGTGTCGGAAAATTTAAATTTGGCGCATTCGGATTTCCGGATATGTCCGCCATCAGAGGCCACTTTTTTGGTCTCCTTTTCATAATGATTAGATTCCCTCATTTGTCTTTTTGCTCGATGTATCAGCTCTAGGATGTCATAATTTTCACATGTGGCTGATTGTCGTATACATGTGTTTCTTTGGAATGCAGGGAGGACGTATGATTATTAAGGGCATTAGCGAGCGGAATGGGGACAGACCTTTTTTAAAAAAGGATTCATTTTTTCTTCTTCTTTAAAAAACAAACAAAAAAATATATGGAAAGAGGAATGGGAATGAAGTTGATGTCTTGTAAGGGCTCTTTTTTTATTATAATTTGTTTTGTATGATGAGAGAGTGATATATCTGGCAATAATAAAAAAAGAACCCTTACAAGACATCAACTTCATTCTCATTCCTCTTTCCATATATTTTTTTGTTTGTTTGTTTTTTAAAGAAAAAGAAAAAATGAATCATTTTTTCAAAAATTTCTGTCTCCGTTCAGCTCGCTAATGCCCTTAATAATCGTACGTCCTCCCTGCATTCCAAAGAAACACATATATACGACAACAAGCCACATGTGAAATTTATGACATCCTAGAGCTGATAAAAAACAATCGAAAAGATTAGTGTGGTTTGATCCTCGAAAGAGCTTAAAGCAGCATTTAAATGAAGCCATCGGTTAAAATTAAATGAACAATAGTATTCTTACTGTTTTTCTTGTATTTTTTTTTGTTTCGTTTCTCTCGTTTAGTTTTTAATCTTTAATGTTAAGGTTATCGTAGAGTTTTTATACATCTTAAAACAATCCTTGATTTCTTTGTAGGTCTGAAGATGGTCTTTATGTTAGGCTTTTCTTGAGTATTCGACCCAATTCTGTCCGTTAACCTCCGATATATAGGGCAAGAACGCTTTCCTTTACATTCTGTTTCTTCGTCCCTTCTTCTAGATACGTTGTTCATCGCCTTGTGTATTTCTCTTCTGGTGTACCCATTAGAGTGAGCGCTTTTTCAATATAAAGAAGTTCACTTTGGAGATGTTGTGGTTCACAAATTCTCTTCGCCCTCTCTGCCAAAGTTTTGATGATACCTTGTTTTTGGCTAGGATGATGATTTGAGTTCCTGTTTAGGTATCTGTCTGTGTGTGTAGGTTTTCGATACACTTATGCCTAAGTGACCTTCCTTTCGATTTACTAATACAATCCAAGGAAACGCTAGTTGTTGAGCTTTTTCTGTTTCCATCGTAAATTGAATATTTGGATGTAGATGTATTTAACATAAGCTATGCTTACCATTGGAATGTACGTCTATGCAGTATTAAATCTCAAAGTAAAATTAATAACCCATAAGTTCTTAATCCGAGGCCACACACAAAATAAAGGGGACGCAGTACATTCAACGATTGAGAAGGAAGTAAAAAAAAGTCTTAAATCTGGACCCATTTACGTACCTTCCCAATACGTCTGTGCCATCAGAAGTTCGAAAAAACGTGGGATGCCGTACATTGTAAATGAGATGGGATACGAAGATTTTATGGATTTGAAACAACTGCCAGTTATTAAGCTGAATAGGAGTGTTGATGGTGCGGTTGTAAAGTTGTTTGATATAAAAGTCATTAAAATTGAAAAGAACGAAATGAATGAGATTAAAATATTCTATAAAACGTCTTATATTGATGATTTCAAGGAACTTGATTTGGCAAAAAGAACATCCAGAAACAGCCGACCTCAAGAACTTAAACCATTGTACCACCAAAAATTGGATATATCCGAACGAAAGAAAAATGACGTGAGGAGTCTTGTGGATGCGGGGTTGATTCCTGGATATTACCGATCCTACTATGAAAGTATTTTTAATTGAAAATGTAATAGATCTTAAGTATTATCACATTTTTACAAATGCCTATTTGTATTTTTTGTTACGATTCGTTTATTTTCTTAGTTTATTTTGATAGTCTTAAAATATTTTATTTTAATTAAAACATTGCGTGATATTGTCGTGACTGATTCGAGTAAGACTTTCTTTTGTAGTACATACAAATAAATACTTTATTCATCTAAAATTAGTTTTTATTTTATTCCTGACATTCATTTACTCTTTTGGAGTAGTAGAATAGTAGAAGAGTTAATGAATTAAATATGCCATTAAACAAAAAATAATTGATTGTATAAAAACAAAAGTGACACTATACTGAATTTTTTTTTCAAATCCTTTTTTTTCAACAAACACTAGTTAATTTATTTAAAAGTTATTTTATACTGAAAAAGAGATAATTAAATTATTATTTAAAACTAATCACGTTGCTTGTTTTCAATTTTTTTTTAAGTCTGGGCATAAAAATCATGTTAAAAACTTTAAATAGCTATACTGTAAAATTGAGTTTTTATATAATGCCACTTTTGATTTTAATGTGCGATATATATATATATATATATATATATATATATATATATAATATATATATATATATATATATATAATATATTATACTAATACAATATAATATAATGTATAATAAATTCTTCATTCATAACTATTTGGTTGTACAATTCTTTGGCGAGAAAATTAACATTTCCTGATTTGTATTAGATTAAAATATATCTGCGGCTATATTACTATCTGCCGCCTACTTGATTTGAACAGTTTTAAAAATAAAGTCAAGGAGGTGATATAACTGAACGTAACCCGTTGGAAAACTTGTGCGAAGTTGACTGACTATAAGGTCAAAGTAGATTTATTTTAATACAAGAAATACTACGATCTATAAGTTTTGCCTGTCATAGTAGGGCAATGAACTAGATGAACATGAAGCCAAAATCCTTAAATTTTGCCTATGTTGTTGTATTGACGGGTAAGTTATTTTTTGACTTTTTATTTGTTTTAATTGGAACTTAAATTGAGTATTTAAAAAAGTGAAAAGTATTTAAATATTTAATTTTTATTTTTCCCATTATAGGTATTCACTTCATTTTAGGTTTTATTAAAATTTTTTCATTTTAGAGATTTTTTTGGCTCAGTTCTATCGCTATTTTTCTGTATCCGTTACCTAATTATCGTCATAAATATGCATGTGGCTGTTCACAGTCTTTACCCTTCACCTTGACCTACATTTCTTTCATTCATCTTTTATGTTATATTTACATTTTTATGCTATTGGTTGGTCGGTTGCCCCATATTTTTTTAAATTTCACCAGATATGTACTCAGTTGCGATTTTAAATACTCTAATTTAATTTAATAAAATATGTTTATATGTATTTAATATATAAAATAAATAAAATATAAATATCTAATACTTAAAAATATGTTTACGTACCAAATACTGTATTTAAAATGAAACTTTAAAAACTTTAAAAAATATATCGATTCCCTTTGTATACAAGATGGACATCATCATCATCATCAATGGCGCTACAACTCTTCGTGAGTCTTTGCCGCGTTTACTATTGCCTTCCATATTTGTCGGTCTTGTGCCAGTAATTCCCATTGTCGCACTCCCATTTTCTTTAGATCTTCTTTGACTGCATCTTTCCACCTTGTTCTAGGCCTCTCTACAGACCTTCTTCCATCTGGCCTTTCCCAGAACACATGGTTTATAAGGCGATTGTCGTTACTGCATATCACATGTCCTGCCCATCTGAGTCTATTATCCTTTATATATCTGACTAGATTTTCTTTTCCGAATAGAGACTCTAGCTCGTTATTGTATCTGCGCCTCCATTCGTTTGTCACGCTGTTTCTGCAAGGGCCATATATCATTCGAAAAATTTTACGTTCCCACACCAGCAATTTATTTACTTCTCGTTTTGTCATCGTCCATATTTCGCTTCCATACGCGACTGCTGGTCGTATTATGGTCTTATATATCCGGATCTTTGCACCTCGTGAAAGAAGTTTAGACTTCATCAGATGTTGCAATGCAAAGAAAGATCTGTTTCCTGCCATTATTCTCGTTTCAACTTCTCGCTCTAATTTGTTGTCATTTGTGATTGTTGCTCCTAGATATTTAAATTCTTTGACCACTTCGAAGTTGTGATCATTTATAGTAATGTTTTGCCTTATTAGTCGTCGTTCTCGTTTTAAGACGACCATGTATTTTGTTTTGTATTCATTTATTTTTAGACCGATGTTTAATGCAGCTTCTTCAAAGCTCGGGAAAATATCCTTAATTTATAAGATTGATTGTGCTACTGCGTCTACGTCATCGGCAAAGGTGAGTATGATTTTTGCTCCCCGAGCAGTTAAGTCTGGTTTGATTTTTGGATAAATTTTTCGCATGACATATTCTAAGGCCAGGTTAAACAACAGTGGGGACAACGGATTTTCCTGTCTCTGTGCAGAATTTACGCAGAAAACATTTGATATTTCCCCCCTATTCTAACTTGTGCAAAAGAGTTACTTACACACATTTGTGTTACCGCAGCTAGTTTCTTGGGTATGCCGAGCTCGATCATTGCCTTCCATAATATTGCACGATTAATTGAATCGTAAGCCTGTTTGAAGTCTATAAAAATCTGATGCACGTCGTGATTATATTCCCAATACTGTTCAAGCATTTGTCTTATTGTAAATATTTGATCAATAGTCGATCTGCCAGGCCTGAAACCACACTGGTAGTCATTAACTATTTCTTCGGCGTATGGTACTAATCGTTTTAATAATATCGAAGCCAATATATTGTATGTAGTGTTGATTAGTGAGATTTCTCTGTAATTCATGCATGATTCCTTTTTTCCTTTCTTGTGTATTGGTACAATAATACTACCACACCATTCTTTCGACATCATTTCTTGTTGCCAGGCCATTTCTATTAATTGATGGATTTTACTTATGAGTTCATGACCGCCTCTTTTAATTAGCTCGGCATCAATATTGTCCAGACCAGGGGATTTACCGTTTTTAAGAGTTTTTATGGCATGCATAATTGCTTCCATGCTTGGTGGGGTTATTTCTAATTCGACCGTTTGATACTCATGTTCTCCGTTGTTTGCATCAGTGAAATTTTGGATATTCAGGAGCTCTTGAAAATATTCAGCCCATCTTTCTATTATTTTGTTTTCGGCAGCCAGCATTTCTCCATTTTTATCTCTTACGAAGTTGGGTGTGCTTATATACGAGCCTCTCTTATGTTGTCTTACCTCTCTGCAGAAATTTTTACTTTGATTTCGTCTGTGTTCTCCTTCTACTTTTTCGGTTTGTTGCTGCAGATATTGTCTCTTTTTTGTCTAAGTGTTCTTCTAGCTGCGGCTCTCTCTCTGTGGAATCGTATACGTTTTTCTTCTGATGGATTCTACAGATAATCAGTTCTTCTTTTGTTTGCTTCTTGTAGAGTTCTTTCACATTCGTCATCGAACCATTTTTTCTTTTTTGTTTTTTTCGTTCTTCCGATAGATTTCTCTGCTGCTTCTGTAATAGTTATTTTTATGGAGTTCCATCGCTGATCTATATCTTCACTTTCATTTATTTCCAAAACCTGAAGCCTATTTCTTAATTCTACTTGGTACTATCTTTGATTATTTTCTTCTTTCAGCTTCGCCACATTCCATCATTCGAGCTTTGTGTGTTTATCTACTGTTTGTGTTGAAATTCTTGTTCTGAGCTTGGCCTTTACGAGAAAATGGTCTGTGTCGCTGTCCGGCCCTCTCATAGTTCTTACACTTATTATGCTGCATCAATCAATACGTGATCTATTTGATTATTTGTTCTTCCATCGTTTGATCTCCATATTGCCTTGTGGATCTTTTTTCTAGCGAACTGGGTGCTTTTGATGGCTAAGTTGCAGCCTGTCGCAAAATCAAGATGAACGAAATACCAAATCTTAAAAAGACATTAATGTATTGTATCTCTCTCTTGTCGATTCCACATTACTGAGGATCGTGATTTCCTCCAATACTCCTAACCAATTTTTCCATTACTCTCTATCTTCGGCTACTTTAAGGGTTTCGCAGAATGTGTGGCCCACATAATTCTGATTTTGTTTTCACCGTCTTTTTGGCGACCATCCTCTCGGTCTTCTCCCGAGAACGGTTCTAGAAACATTTAATCTTCAGCTCTGCGAATCACATGACCTAAAAACTGTAGAATTCGCCGTAAAATGTTGTGGATAGCCCTTTTTTAATGTCAAGTTGGTTTCGAATGGAAACGTTTGTTCGATGACGTATCCAAGTTATGCAAAGCATTTTTTTCCAACACCACATCTCGAAGGCATACATTTTTTGGTGTTCTTTGTTTTTTTGTAAGAGTCCAAGTTTGTGCCCCATATAGAATTATTGAGAATACATGTGGATTCACCAATCTCATCTTGATTTTTGGGAGATAGATCTATCTTTTCAAACTTTGGTTAAGCGGCTCATAGCATCTTTTGCACTACCAATGCGTTTCCCAAATTCTGCTTCGCAGTTGTTATCGTTAGCTATACTAGATCCAAGATAGTTGAAGCTATCTACTATCTATTCCTGCAAGTGGTTACTCAGCTAAATAGTGTTAAATCTTAAATTTGAGATTTTTATATCAGTCAACGTTACTCCTTCGACCCATCCTACTAAAGCCATCCTCATGTTCACCATTAATATTGAATAAGTCAGTTGACAAAACGCATCCTCTCTCTCCCTCTCTCTCTACTCTGAATTGGCTTGAGAACTTCTAATCTACTCGTACTACGAGTCCAACTCGTAGTACGAGTATCGTATTGGACTGGTACAGGGTTTTAATAAGTATCAGCAGGTGTCTCGAAGCACTCATCTCTATTAAAACCGACCAACGATTCTCCAGCTTACACAATCGAATGTCTTCTGGTAGTCAAAGAAGTATATTATTATGGGTAGTTAAAATTATGTCGACTTTTCAATAACTTGTCTTAGGTTCAGGATTGGCTCATGTATACCTTTTCACGTTTTTAATCTGTTTCTGATGATATACAACAAGATTTTACTAATGAAATCGTAGGCTTCCACGGCCAGAGTCAGAATTATAGTTTATTCGTCTTCCGGGTTTAGACCGTGTCATTTGTGAGTGACCCAAAAGTGGGTTCATCTCGACGTTTCGCTACAATTGTATGTAGCTTCTTCAGGAGAACAAAGAAAAAGAAAAAGAAAAAGAAAAAGAAGATAGGAAGATGGGTAGTTAGCAACGGTAACTCAGTTACTCAACGCAACCAGAGGCGAATACTAACTACCAAGATGGGCATTTGGTCACAGTAACTCAACTATTCAACGCAGCCAGAGGTGAAAACCAAATGCCAGGACAGGGATTTACGTCCAACAGCTCAGAACACTAACGCGTCGAGAGTGAATCGGATTCACTCCCCGCCTCTATATATCATCTATATATATATATTATATATATATATATATTATATATATATATATATATATATATATATATATATATATCAGTTTCATTCTGTCACTGGCTATCTGGATGCGTTGTCGGGAAAGTTTATGAATGTTGTTCATTCTTAACTTTAGGTGGTTAATATATTCCTCTGCAACACGTTTTTCGGAAGGTCTGCAGCCAAACTCTAGGTCGCAGGGCAAACGAACTTCGCGACCTAACATCAGGCAGGTTGGAGTTTGATCTGTAGTTTCATTCATGGCCAAGCGGTAGGCCATCGATTCCAATCTCGTTGATGGTCGGATATAACTTTGGACAGGTGTTTACCCATCATTCGATTCATCCTCTCAAAAATTCCATCTAATTGAGGATGCAGGGGTGTCGTTCTGATTTTATTGACACTAATCAATTTACAAACGTTTTTGAAAAGGATTGATTCGAAGTTTCGCGCTTGGTCGGAGTGGATCTCCAAGGGAACACCCAATCGGTTAAAGAATTCTTCAAGAAGTACCTCTGCAAC